GGGAACCAGAAGCCCTCAGCCCGCTCGGGGGGCAGGGGCTGAGCGGGGGCAGGGACAGCACCCCAAAGGCGAGCCCTCGGCAGCTGCAGAGAAGCCGACCCCAACCCCCGAGGATGCTTGGGGAGGTGCGGGGGCCGGGACAGAGGGTGCTGCAGCCGCCCGGGCACCGCTCCTCCGCGCTGCAGCCCCTTTCCCGGGGATGGAAACGGGAATAGCTACTAGCACCTGTCTGCTCGGGGGCCCTGCAGCGTCTCCCTCGGCACAGGGAAAGGAAAAGCCCTCTGGAGCTGTTATCCCCGTTACCTGCAGCCAACAGGACTCTGGGGCAGGGGCACGCACAGGCTGGGGGGGTGAGAGCGGACAGAAGAGCAGGGAGAGAAAAGGAGACTAGGGAATAGCTCAGTCTTCTGGCAGAGCTGACAACACCAAATCTTAAAAAAAAAAATTATGACATGGTCTCAAAACTAAGTTCTGTTCTGTTTTTTCGCTGCCTTCAGGTCCTCTTTTCAGCTTCCTTTCCCAGGCAGAGCAACACCTCCTTTGTCAAAAAAAACCCACCAACCCCAGCTGAGGCTGGTACAGGACAGCGTCAGTCTGACAGCACAGGGTTCCGGGAGGAAAGAGGACAAAACGAAGCAGCAAATGCTGCAGTTTGACCAGCCTCACTTTGGGGAACACGTTCCCACAACACCCTGTCTCCAGCACTGCTTTCCTCCACGGGTCTCTGCCAGGGACCAGGGCTGGTGGCTCTCGATGGGTTCCTGCATAGCACATGGCTTGCGAAGGCAGCAGATGAGCAGAACGGCGGAAAGCAGCACACAGCACTAGAGACAGCAAGCCATCCCTGCATAGGTCAGTTATAAACCTCCCCGCCTTGATTTTACTGCCTTTGGTAAAGCTGGGTAAATATTTCTGGGACAGGCAGCTCCTTGTCTGGCTTTAATTACCTGGGCAAATTTTCCTAAGGATTATATTGACCTCAAATATGTCAACATTTATTGAGGCCGTGTTCCTGAGGCTTTTCCCATTAGATACTAATGGATTCTGGCTAATAGTCAAGCCGGATTGACCACTGGAGGGTGCCCTGGCCAGCTCCGGGATACCACAAGTACCTGGGGAGAGGGCTGGAGAGGGTTACACCAGCTTTATGGAGCCAAATATAAAAATCATCATGGCCCCACTCCAAAGAGATCAGGGAACACGCTTGAGCAATTACATTCCTAACTATCTGCTTCTCTGGGCATGATTCACGCCAAGTCGCGGCTGTATTGATGTGTGAGACTTCAAGCAAAGGTTGCTTTTGCTTGGGGCTGTTCCCTCCCTGCGGGAAAGAGGAGTCCAGCACACCTCTACAGGGCTTCCATCTGACAGGGCCCAGGCAGTGCTCAGCGCAGTGGTCACTGCTGCGCCGGAAAACCACATCACGCCGGTTGTTTTGAAATCACTTCCCTTCAGCCCGACAGCCGAGAGCTGCGTCCGGGCGCCTGCGCGCCTCTGATGGGTGGTTGTGGGTGGGTGCGTTCTCTTGGTCCCTTGCTGGTGATGCCAGCCAAGGCTGGGCATGTACGGTGCCCCCCTTCCCTTCTGCGTGCCCCACACAGCCTGACAGCCGGCTGCCAGGCCTGCGCACACATTCTCACCCCTCTGCCTGCTCTGTGTGGCTGGGCAGGGATTTCAGACACGCGTGTATCGGTGCGCACAATGTGCACGCCAGCTTCTGTGCCTGCACGTCTGCGCGGCAGAACAACCCCCACCGCTGTCGCTGGCCCAGGCTCCCTCGGCTCTCCACACCCAGCCTGCCGCCCTGCCAGCTCCTCAGGCAGGGCTACTTGCTGGGCATCCCCGGGTTGCCCCAGCCCTGCAGCTTCCCCCACACCAGCTCCCTGCTCCTGCTGCCTTCCCCACTCAACAAGATCCACATCCTGCTGAGAAACTGCGGTGCACCCAGGAATCACCTGCTCGCTCCCAGGTATTTGGGGTTAATCACATCCTGAGCAGAAACAACAGTTTAAAATCCTATCCCTTCTATTTTATAAAGAAGATCCAAACCCAGCTGCAGCCCCCAGGGGAAACCTCCTGCTCAGCACTGAGTAGGGGGGTGAGCCAGAGCAGGAAGGAAGGAAGACACTGGGCTCGTTACAGGCTGTGACCTGGGAGAGTCACCCTGCCTACCATGTCCCCCATTTCCCCACAGCTGAGCTGCATCCGTGCTGGGGCTGCTCTGGGACTGCCGTTCCGGGATGAGATCCATCCTACCTGATCAGAGCCGTATCCCACAGTTCTGCAGCTAAACGTGACCCGTTCAGTGCTGAGGGGCAGGGCTGGCTTCGGACCATCCCGACGCTGCACTGGGCACAGGGTACATTCTATCCTCACCTCTGTCATGGGAACGAGATGCTCGGCTGCTGCAAGGTGAAGGCAGACTTTGGGCCAGATAACCTGCCTATCTCAGCAGATAGCTGAGATTACAGCAGGGCACAGCTTGAAGGCATCTTGAGGGAGTGAGGTCTGCGCTAGCAGTCAGGATGGGTGCTGGCAGGACAGCCATCCTGGCAGAGGCACAGCAGCTCCACATCTCTGGGTGTCTCTACTTGGGGAAGAATTGGCCTTTTCCTCCACGTGCTGGGAGGCCCACTGCCTCCCCTTTCTCCCCCACAAGTCCAGGGTGTGATCACCCATTGCTGAGAGGGAGCACCAGTATCACTTGGCAGGAGAACGCCTCTGAAGAGCAAAGGGAAAGGGAAGGTGTGAAGCAGCAGCAGAAGACAAACGTAACAGGTGAGTCTGGGGTCTTGTCTCAGGAATGTGCCTCTCCTGTCCCTCCCCAGCAAGGGCAGGCATCATGGGGCTGTGGAAGCGGTAGTTAGGAGCACCAGGGGGAAGGATTGCACTGGGGCCCCATGGGATGCCTGGCTGCGGCTTTCACATCTGCCGCAGCCCTGCTCACCCTGTGCCAGCACAGCAGCACAGTTACACCTGATGAGAACCAAGAGGCAGGGGGGTCCAGGGCTCTGCCCGAAGCACCCTGCACCCCACTGCACCCTCCAGCCCAGCAGGATCCGGAGGGGAGGCCAAAGAGAGTGGCTCTGCCAGGTGCCAGCCTCTCCTACATGCCTCTGAAAGTGCAAGCATGTGCTAGGAAGAGTCTGGGGTTTTGGAAAGGGTCCCCAGGCCTCTGTGCACTGTGGCTACTGCCCCACCCTCACTGCAAAATCCCAGCCGTCAGTCCCAAATGAGCACGCAGCTCTCCAGGGCAGCCACTTCAAGTAAAACCAGCTACACCTTGTCTCTGTGTCTGACAGGTGTCTGCATAAATACTGCCCTGGTACTGGCGTTTGAGCCAGAGGTGTGTATCAGCCAAGGCTTCCTGGGGCGAACATCCCACGGCAGGCTTCCCCTGGGCCATTTGCCGGCCCTTGGTGTCTCTGGGCCAAGCCTGTTTAAAGAGCTGCTCTTGACTCTGTCCCTTCCTTCTTCCCTCTGGCTGCAGAAAGCCAAGCTGAAGAGAGGTACGGGAAAGCAGCACCAGAAGCTGTCATGCCGAAAGAGCACTTGGGTAAGATCGGGAGGAGCCAGGAGCTGGAGCAAGCAAGGGATGCCCACTGTCCGGCAGGTACTTCCTAGGGACAAGTCCTTGCTGGCAGCAAGTTGCCAGAGGATGGCATATGGCCTCCCTCGTGGGCTCCAGCCCCAGGGGCTGCCTGGGCTGTCCCTAGTGCCCGCTGTGTGCGCGCAGCAGCTGCTTCCAGAGGCCAGCAATACTGCAGAGATGGCCAAGAGCAGCCATACGAAAAGCAAACGGTGGTAGGGATGCTGCAGTGGGGCACTCCCCTGCAAATGCTTCCCCAGCGTAGTGCTGGGCTGAAATGAAGGGGAGGTGTCTTGCTAGGAGATTCACTCTGGTTCAGGCAAGGCTTGGGGCCAGGAATTTGGGGGGAAGCGTCCACATCCCCCTGGCTATGGGAGCAGAAAAAAGCTAGGAAGAAGTCACTGCTGGGCCAAGGCACCGAGGAGGTACTGGGCAGGGAATAGCCACCCAGTATGGTTTGGATGGTGCCCTTGGACACCTGTGTTCAGACCAGGGTCGTGGTGTGGGTCACCTGCCAGGAAGCGTGTCGTCCCCATGGCAGTCCTCTGTGTCTCGGGCTTGCAGTTTCCTGGAGGGACACGACCTGGCAGGCAAAAGAAGGGCTCCAGCGGAGGCTGTGAGACCTGGAGAAGGCGTTGGACCAGGCACGGGAAGACAAGCAAGACATTCATGACGGTGAGGGCAGAGGTGAGAGGGGGAATGCAAGGACAGATGCAGGGATCCCACACCTTGATGCTACTGGGGGAAGCAAGCCAAGCTTACCCCACCTCTCCCTTTGGTCTCACCGCTCAGCCCCAGTCCACGCTGTTTGCTAGCCCTGCTCCCTCCCATACTGTCAGCATGCAAAGGCTCTGGACACGCACTCGTTTCAGCACAGGCAGAGGGAGACCACTGAGACAGAGACTTCCCTGCCTGCAATAGTCACTGCCTTGCTGTTTCTGTTAGTGCTCAAGAAGGGGCCGATTTTAGCAGAGGTAAAACCTCAGCCAGAGGTTTGCGGTCTTTGCCACATGCAAAACTCCGTGCTCATTTTCACTCTCCCACGCTCAGCAGAGAGGTAAAACTTTCCCTCCAGGCTCCCTCCTGCCCCCCCCTTACCCGGAATTGTCACAGCTCTGCCAGGCACAGGAACTGCCTGCTTGTTCTCCCTACAGTCACCACGTTTGCCCCCTTTTTCCCTCTCTGGCTCCCAGAAATGACCCGCCAATACCAGGAGCTGCAGAAGCAGACAGCAGCCCACAGCCATGCCTCTCCCTCCCTGGTGGGGTGGGGATGGGGTTCACTCCAGGGCAGCAAAGTGCCCCTGGGGGGAGTGAGGGGAGGTAGGAGTCATTCACCATGTGCTGCCAGCACAGCAGCAGCTGATGGCAGAGCCTGACCCAGTGCACCCCGACCTAGGGAGATGCTGGCTGCAAAGGGAGTGCTGTGATCCCATCCCTGTCTCCGAGCCCTCTGCCACCCTGGGAATGAGAAAGATGGGGCAGAGGGTGTGCCACACACTGCCCACACCCTCCCATGCACTGGTCACGCAGTGCCAGGCTCCTGTGTCCGTGTCCTCAGTGTCCCCCGCCTCTGTCCCCACATCCCACACCTACCAGGCTCCAGGAGGGCCAGCAGAACCAGGAGACGGTCACCTAGGCACTAGCAGAGAGGGACAGGAGCATTGCCCAGCTGCAGGGCAGGCTCGATGCCATGGAGAGGGAGTATGAGAAGATCTTCCATGTGAGTGGGGATGTGGCTGTGGGTGGTTCCCTCTGGCAGCATGGTCCTGGCATCTCACCATCCTCTTTCCCACCAGGGTAGCCTGGACCTTGTTCTAGACAAGACGGCAGAGGCCAGCCAGCACTGGGAAGAAGTAGGAACAACCATCGCTGTTATAAGAGCTAACTTTTTGTGGTTTTGCAGATGGAAAATTCCAGTCCTAGAAAGGCCTCAGTTTCATCATATGTTTGTATGAACTGTTTTTCTTAACTATCCTGAGAAAGGACTAATTGGTAAGGTCAAATAAAAAAAAAAGGAATATCACCCCTCAGCAGAATGAAAACGTCGAAAAGTAACGGGTTGGGAACAAGATAAAGAATTGCAGAATAAGATATAACAAAGACATACTGAAGCGTTAAAAAGGGAACAACGGGAACGGTCACGCGTCTTCCTTAAAAATATTTAAAAGCTGTACAAAGACATAGAAACATGTGTTGGGTGGGCTGCGAGCCTGGAGTACTCGGCCAGTGAGAAACAGGGGAGGGGGCTGAATGCGTCAGGAACTAGGGTAGGTATTTAAGATGCTCTGCTGCTGTGAAGCGTGCTCTCCTCTCTCTCTCCTGCGAGGAGGGGGATCACCTGCCACTGCAATCGTGAATAAAATGCTGCTTCACTGAGATCCTGCCTGAGACAAAGTTATTGGCCTGTGAGCGTTTCTCACGATGTGGAGCCCAAGGAGTGCCTACAGGAGTTTGGCCTCAGCTCCCTGGAGATATAGCACCCTGGGGCTCCTGGGACAAGACAGGCTCTCTGCCCCTTCCTCCCTGTCAGCACGCTTGGAGAGCTTCCCATATCTGCCGCCCAACACCCCAGCTGCCCCGGGCTTGGAGGGAGAAGGTGCGTCCTGTCTGGCCCTGGAATGCCGTCACAGTCCGCGCCGTAACATCACCCACGTGAACAGCAGTGTGGATTTGTCCTTTAATCACACCCCACATGGGTGAGGCAGGAACAGTGCTGTGATGCGGGGTGGACACTCACTGCCCGCAGGTTCACAGGGAGGAGGAGAGGAGGAGCACAAGAGGGATGTCCATGCAGGGGCAGACCTGAGCCAACAGACTGAGAGGTGGGGGGTTCCTCCAGCACCCCATCGGCCTCCACTGCTCTCTTTTCCCTTCATACTGGCCTGAAGGCCAGTCCTGGGCTGAGCCAAGCCTCATGCTCTCCAGTCCCCTGGGTCATGGCATAGAGGGCAGTGCGTCAGCGATCCTGGGAGCTCCCAGAGCCTGGAGCTGGGAAAGGACTTCCATGAAATGTCCCAAGATATTCCTGGGGGCAGCTGGGCAGGCAAAGTCTGTCTTCAGGTTACAAGAATCCACTGCCATGGTTAATAAAAGCTTGAAGCCAGCCTCGGCCAGTGGAGAGGAGTCTCTGGGAGGTGTGATGCTGTGAGCCCTGTCGCAGACAAGGAGACAGAGCAGCAGTGCTGCGACAGCCATACTGAGCAGCACGGTGTGCTCCCGGCGAGCTGGGCAGAGGGAACCAACAGGCTGGACATGGCCTGGATCAAGGCACTGTGTGGGGAGCGTGGTCGGAGGCAAGGTGCTCCCGGGCTGCTAGAATGTCTGGTGCAGTCTCCTCTGCTCCTCCTGGCGTGGGATCTGCAGGGACACAGCGTGGGGCACTGTGGGCAGCACACATCCACCCACCTCACCACACTCCACCCTTGCCTCGTGGATGGGTTGGAGGGATCTTTTCACCTGGTCCCTGTGGCCAGGGGACCACGCAGTCCCCACCTGCCTGCCTCATGGGTGCCAAGGAAATATTAGGACAGGCAGGGCAGGAGGGTGCCAGGACTCAGAGCAGTGCTGGGCTGTGAGCAGCACTGCCGTGAGGGTCTGGTAAAAGAGGTTACCTGTGTGAACCCTATACTGTTGGCAGCAGCCACCAGCCAGGACCCAGGTCCCTTTGGTCCCACCTCAACATGACAGAGTCCAGGGGAGGCACTGGGAGAGGGCAGGGAGGGCGTGCAGGAGCCTGAGACAGGGTCAGTGTTCTCAAAGAACAGCAGAGGGGACAGCCCGATCTGGAAGAACAGAAGAGGGAGAGCCATAGAGCTCCTGGTGCTCCACAGCAAGCCAGGTCCCCTGGAGAGGACCTCACAGTGCAGACCTGGGAGGACAACACCCATCCCATCATCCAGTCTTGCAGGACCCCATGACCCGGGGGTGGGACCACGCTGGTTCCCCAAAACCTACCGACTGGTAGAACTCATCGCCAGCAGGGTCGATGACCAGCAGCGTCACCTGGTCATCACGGGCACGGATCCTGAGCACCGTCTGGTGGTGGTCCAGCCCCTCGATGCTCTCACCATTCACAGCCAGGAGACGGTCCCCTTCCCTCATCCCTGCCTGCTCGGCTGGCAGTCCTGCATCCACTTCCCACAGGAATTGGCCTGCCTCAGTGGGACAGAGGGAGAAAGGGGAGATGCTCACAGAGGCATTCAGCCAGAGGGGAGCTGGCAACACTGACCCCCAAGTGCTGGTGGGCACAGGGCTTGCATCTATTCCCAACCCTCAGACATGCCTTGCTCAGGCACAGACTGCCCCCCTCAGCCCACTCACCTATGGCCCCCGAGCTGCAGTCATCCTCCTTGAGCAGAAACCCATAACCAGCTGGACCCTTCACCATGTGCAGCTCCCGGACCTTGAAGGGGAGCCAGGAGGTGTCCGCCAAGGCGGCCGTGACCCGCAGGCCCCGCAGGCCGTACAACTCCTCCACGGCACTGGATGCCACCAACAGCGTCCCCTTGCTACCGCTCTGCTTAAGCTGGATGGGAAAAGCAGGGTGCTCAGCGACATTGCCAGCCCCGGTCCCCCACCCAACAGCGCCAGGACCACCCACCTTTCGGGCAAGCTGTGCGTGCGAGTAGCTCCTCACGCTGGCCCCGTTCATCTCCAGCAGCCAGGAACCCGGCGGTACCCCCGCTCTCTCCGCCGGCCCGTCCTGCCGCACCGACAGCTGGAAGGTGCCCTTCACACCTACCGGGAGGAGCCCTTCACACCTACCAGGAGGAGAGGCAGTCTGGGGTGAGCAGGGCGCTGCGTCGGGGAGGCTGGCGGCACCAGCATCCCTCTGCCCGCTTTACCTTCCGGACCCGACACACTGAAGCCAAAACCACTTTTGTCCCGCATAACGTGGCAGAGGCGTGGGCGGATGTCGGCCGGCAGCATCTGGGACAGGTCCCTGCCCAGGGTTTTGGCTGCTTCGTAGGAGTCACCATCCAGCACTGCCAGCAGGACCTGGTTCCCGCTGCCCTTGATCTTCTGCACCACCTGGAAGGGCCCAGGCTGTGAAGCCCACGCAGGGTGCTCCTCCAACCACAGTCTGTGGGATCAGGGCCCTCGGGGGGTGCAGTGGGGTCCCGCAACCTCCGTGCTCCTGGCTGGGGAGGACCTGGGCATTCCCACAGCCCCAGGGTGCTCCCAGCTTACCCTGTGGTGGTCCATATCATCCACGAAGTGGCCGTTGACCTGGAGGAGCCGGTCCCCGTCCTGCAGCCCCCTGCGCTGGGCCAGCCCCCCCAGCTCAACCTGCCGGATGATGTGGCCTCGGCAGCCCAGCTCCTCATGGAGGCAGAAGCCGAAGCTCTCCGTGCTGCCCTTGCTCAGGAGATAGAAGCGTGGTTCCCCCACACCCTTGCCATCTGCATGGGGGCACAGCCTGTCAGCAGAGCGCTGCAGGGATTCTAACACGTGTTCTCTACCCCAGCCCAGGCTGGGATCTCCCCCATCCCTCCTGCCTTACGTGTCCATCTCCCTGCAATTCCCAACCACAGGAGAGCCCAGGACCCCAGCAATACCCAGCTGCCAGAGCCCATGCTGACACAGGGATGCCCTGGGGAGGTGACAGTATTTACCCATGTCCTCAGCCAATGACAAGGCAGGGTTGTCGATTCCATCTTTGGGGTTAAATTCGAATTTTCTGAAATTATAAAGGGCAGGAGAGGCCATGTTAGTGCAGCACCACAGCCATCCCCCTACCCTCCCCAGCCCTACCATGGGGAGCCCCATTCCTCCCAGAAAGGGCCAACTAGAGCCGCAGTTCCAGTGCCTCCTCTTCCTCGGGGAAAGCCAGGAGGTGATCTCCTTCTTGGACTGTCCCTCACATCTCTCCTAAGCTAACAACGCAGGGAAGACCCTCCTGGGGCAGAAAGCTGGAATTGGCAGCCATGACCAACACCAACTCAACTAAGGATGTGCCACAGCCTGCTTGTGGGGTCATGAGCCTCAGGAAGGCCCTGGCCAGGGGAGAGCTCAGCACTTACATGATGGATTTCTTGTCACCCTCGAGCCCTGCAGAGGGAGAGAAGAGGTCAGTGCAGGAGGCAGCAGGCCAGGAGCAGACCCCATATGCTCCTGAGCACTCAGCACTTGTCCATTTGCAGGCTGAGCATGTCACACCAGGTGAGATGGCTTTCCTGAGTCCACGCAGCACCCCTCAGCCACTCTGCCCCCCTGTCAGAGCCATTGCCCACCCCACCAGCGTCCTCTTGCATTTCAAAGCAGCAGGATACTCAAAGCAGCTATTGAGTGAGGGATGAGAAGGGTCACCAGGGTGACAGAGAGCTGGCTGCAGCCAGGAGATGGAGCCGTGGGTCTTCCCGTTCCCCATAAAACCCCTCCCCACTCTTCCAACACAAGGACCCCCAAACCCAAGGAGAGGAGATTCCTGCCAAGCACCCCCACAACGCCCATCTGCATTTTCCTGGATGCCTCCAGCTCCTTTCCATGGCCTGCCTGGGCTCTGACATTTCCTTATGCCATGCAGAAGCAGAGCCTGGAAACATGCGTGGGGAAGGGTCTCCGCAAGACAAAGCCCCACTGCCCTAGCACATACCTTTTGTTTGCTTCATGGCTGCAGGGAATGCAAGAAGGAGCAAGGTACACGGTGAAGTGGCAGGGAAGCCAGTGTCCCCGCCTCCTCCAAGACGCCCCAGGTTTAATGGTTAAACAGCCCCAACATCTCCCCTGCCCTCCCAGTCCCAGGGCACTGCCAGCCCTTGCCCAGTAGAGCTGGGAGCAGGGACCAGCCGCCTGTGACACCCAGCTTGGGAACAGATCCTGGTGTCCCAGCTGCCCGCAAAGGCAGTCCACGATGGGGAAGACCGATTGGTTTGGCATGGGCTGGAGCAGGAGTGGGCTGCCCCATCCCAGCCCCACGAGACGGGGAAGGGCCAGACCCCTCCACTCCAACTGCTGGAATGATGGCCTTCGCATTCCTCCCCCCTGGAAGGGCCCAGAGAGATCGAGTTTTGGCACTACTGTGCTTCAGTGGAAACAAAGTGGTGAGCTTTAATGCTACCAAACTTTTACAAACAAGCCTGAGTCCTGCCCTGGGCCAGCAGCGGCTGGAATGCAGGGGCTGGGTCTCTACAAGCCCAGAAGAATGAGTCCCATTTGCTCCTGGCCTGTTCTCCCACACTTCAGCCTTGCCCACAGATGAGGGCTGAGCCCCACGTACCCAGCACCTTTGACAGCCGTGGTAGCACCCAACTACTAGGGATGTCCACGGGGATAAGGGCGCAGGGGATGTGCTGCCGGGGCATGGTCCAGTGTTTCCCCCGAAGCAGTACTGCTCCCTCCCTGGCCGGGGGATGGACAGCAGGTTAGAGGTTCCCATGCTGCAGTTTCCCCAGCATCTTCTTGACCTCACTCTCCACTCGTAGGAACTTGGCTTTCCTCCAGGGGTTGGCAGTCTGTCTCCGGCTGCTCTCCAGGTCCTGCAGGATGAGGGCAAGGTGCTGCCGAACGCGCTCGCGGTCCCAGAAAGGTAGGTTCCTCTGCACCACGTTCAGGATATGGGACCAGTAATCGGACACATCGGTGCCTGCTGTAAGGAAGACCAGTGCCCTGACGCCATCCCGGTCCATGCGCAGGCTGTGAAGTGCCCGCTTGCCGTCCTCACTGATGTCGTTGAAGTACAGACTGCAGGTTGACAGAAAAGGGGTGAGAGACACTGTGAGGGCAGGATGCAGAGACAGACAGGGGCTCCCCGCTCACTGCCATGGGGAGGTACACTGGGTCAGAGGCATCGCCTGCAAGAGGGAAGAGAAGGGGCAGAGCAAACTCACTGCACTTTGTCCAGCGTCGCGTGATTTTTGGCCACCTCCACCACACGCAGGGCACCTGTGTCCGTCAGGGAGTTGTAGCCCAGGTTGAGCTCCTGGAGGTGCTGGTTCTCGGTCAGGTGCTGAGCAATGACCTCGGCGCCCCGGTCCCCCAGCGCGGTGTGCAGCAGGGACAAATGGGTCAGTGAGCGGTTGCCTGCCAGTGCCTCGGCCAGGTAGTGTGCCCCCTGCTCCCCCACGGGGTTATTTGCCAACCTGTGGACACAGGAGCTCAAGGCAATGCCGAGGCTGGGCAGGGGGCCCAGGGCCAGGGCACATGGGGGGCAGCAGAGACAGTTTCATGCAAGGACAGAGGCAGCACTCACCGCAGGTTGCTCACCACACACTTGTCATGCAGGAGCAGGTCACGGATTTCCTTGCAGGCGTCAGAGCCCAGGCTGTTGAGCTGCAGACTAAGGCACAGTGAGACGTGAGGGTGGCAGGACAGAGACGGCTGTTATGTGTGGGGCTGGAAACCCTGCTCTCTCCATTTTCCCTCACCCTTCCCATCACCATCCTACTTGGCCTTCCCCAACAAGGCTTCCTCTCCAACAGGGAGCACACAGGAACTGCACCAGAGCCTGGGTGGCATCCGCCAGCAGAAGCAAGGGAGGGGAAGGGGGTGCAGGGTCAGCAGGGGGTAGGTGAAGACGTGAGGAGGGATCAGGACCCCACGAAGCCCTCCTGAGCATCTGGAGGGAGGAAGTGCTGCACAGCCCTGCTGCAAAGAGTCCATCTCTGCTGAGCACGGCTTGCCACCCCCTGGGCGACAGGAGGACTGCAGTTCCACAAATGGACTGGAGCAGAACCCACCCCTTTGCACAGCCCAGACTCCCACCCTTGGGCTGCGTATTTCCTCCCAGTTAGTAGTAGCAGAGCTGGCTACACGGGGATGCTGGGTGGCCCCGGGGGCCTAGCAATGGGAGGGAACTGGGTCTGCCAGGGGAGCTGGCAGCCCTGCCTGTGGGAGCAGAGGGCTGCGCAAAGAGTCCTATGGACTGCAAATCCCAGCATGCAGTGTCCTAGCAAGGCTCCTCAGGGAGCGTTGCATGCTGGAAGCTGTAGTTCCCTAGGTCTGCACTGAGTATAAACAAGAGCATGCCTGCCCTTCCCTATTTTTGCCATGCTTGGGCTCCTAGTGTATCCCTGTGATGGGAAGAGGTGAGGGAGAGCCCAGGTCTTGAGCACTGCCCAAGGGCAGAGGGTGGTACTCACTGGAGAGCTTTGCATCGCAGCAGGACAGGGAAGAGAATCCTCAAGCTGCTCGTGTCAAGGTTGCAGGAGGTCAGGTTCAGCTCCTCCACCTCATGGCATGTGGTGCCCATGACAGATGCCAGGACAGAGCACTTGAGAGGGGTCATCTTGACAGAGGAGAGGTTGACAGTCCGGAGGGAGCGGATGGCCTCAGCTGTGAAGCGCTCATTCTGGAACTCATGCAGGAAGAAGAGGTAGTCCATCAGCTCGGAGGGGGGTAGCCCCTTGCGGCTATTCCTGATGACAGTCTTCTTCATGGCCTTGGCGATCTCAAAGGCTGCCAGGTTCTTGATGGAGCAGCCCAGCTGCTCAAGGATGGCACGGTTACGGCGGGACAGTATCCCACCCATGAAGATGGGGAAGAGCTCAAAGACCTCATCATCAGGGGTCTCATCAGGGTGGCGCATGGGGCCCTCCATGCCCAGGATGCTGGAATTGATCTGATCCAAGACATCATCGTTGTAGTAGTCCTCCTCTTTGAACAGCTCCTCTGCCATGGTGTGGGCAATGGCATCCCGGTCCTTACCGCTCAGCCGGGAGAAATAGCGAGGGAAGATTTTGAGCAGGTTGAAGAGCACTGGCAGGAAACGCAAGGGCAGTACCTTGGAGATGATATTCACCACGACGACGACATCTTCACTCACCTTCCCAATGACCTCAGATAGTTCCTTCCCCACCCTCTGTGCCAGGGTCTTCTTCTCACCCAGCACCACATACAGGGCTGCCAGGTACTCCTGCATAGCAGGGATGGTGAAGACAAAGGTGTGCTCTTTGCCTGGCTGCACACACGGAGTGAGGAAGAAGCGGAAGACATCACTGCGGAAGACCTCTAGGAGGTTGAGCTCGCTTTCAGTCTTCATCTCCACCTCAAAGCACTGCTGCAAGTCATCCTCTGAGAAGCAGGTCTTGCGGGACATCACCCCTTCGTAGGCCAGCTTGCCCACCGTCTTGGCCACGTACTTCATCATGGAGATGTTGGTGGGGTCAGTGCTGTCCAGCACCTCCCCGCTGAAGTTGAGCCTCAGGAAGCTGGTGTAGATGCCAGTCAGGGTCTGGCTGGGAGGCACGGTTCTGGTGAAGTAGAGGAAATGCAGCGTGGTGCACACAAGCCAGCAGTAAGAGGGCAAGAAGCAAGCAGCAGCTATTTGGTTGTGGCGCTCCAAGTTCCTTGACAACATCTCCACCAAGTTCTCCTGCTCACCTGAGCTGCTACGTGCACTGTCCTCTCCGCCGCAGCCGGGCTGGCTGAGACGCATCTGGAAGTACAGCTTCTGCAGGTTGGTGTCGGAGAAGCCACAGATCTCGGCATAGCGACCCACATACTTGCCAGGGATACGGCGCACTGCCGACGGGCGCATGGTGACAATGATGCTGGCCTGGAAGCAGAGGGCTGGGTGAGTTTGGAGGTGAAGCCACTCTGTGGCTCTGACCTAAGCTCAGCAGGGTCCCCAGGGATGTAACCTACATATAGGTGCTTGAGGATCACACCATCCAGGGCCTGGGGTTCAAGAAGCTGCTGCCCAGGGGGCATTGGGTCAAATCTGGCCCAGGCAGAGGGGACAGAATCTGCCCATCCCCTACTAGACATATATCAAGACTGGAAGACCAGAGCCCAGCAGATTGCCTTCTTTGCCTTACCAGGCCTCCCCAAAGACCCCAGAGGCAAGTAACAGTGACATGAGGCCACCTTGGTGAGTCCCCACAGGAATGGAGGCTGCCTGTTCGCTCACAGCCAAGCTGAACTACAAGCAGCACAATGGCCAGGCCTGCAATGCCCCAGGGCTCACCCCCAACCATTCTCCAGCCTGAAGGAGCTGGAGTGAGACACTGACCTCTGGTAGGAGGTATTTTCGCAGCAAGTTGACCACGATGGCAGAAGGAGGCACAGGCTCACTGGGGTCACAGCACAGCTCCGTGCCAGCCAGA